ACACACACACACACACACACTCTCTCACACACACAAAAAGAAAACAAACAAACAACAACAACAACAAAACCCCAAAAAAACCAAGGGGGGGGAGAGGAAGATATAACAACCACAATTTTTTTTTGAAGTTCTTACAACAAGAAAATGGAGGGGACACACTTGGGTGGGAGGGGGGAGAGGGAGGAGGGAGGGAGGTTTCGGTGATGGGACACAATAATCAACTACATTGTATATTGACAAAATAATAATAATAATAATAATAAAAAAAGAAATATTCTGTCTCATAATACTGTTCTGGCAGGTCTAAGAAGGTAATCTCTTCTCCTAACGAATGTGCCTGCTTTTCCGGTTTTTCCAGCGGCTCAAGGATTGCTTGTTATATGGTGCAGATTATTTATTTATTTATTTATTTGGTGTGGCCAAAATCCCTCCCACTTTCTTAAAACCGTTTTGTCCCGTGCAGAGGTTGTGGCCATGCATAAGAAACAGCAGGTGGTGCCAGATGACAGATGGTGTGGGAGCCCGTTCCCCGGTGGGAGGGGGCGCGAGTGAGCAGGCAGGCAGCTGCCAGGAGCTCTTCCCCGCTCGCTCACGCCTCGCTCTCAGAAGCTCCCGATCCAGACACACGCGAGGCGCTGTCCTTTCAGCACCACAAGCTCGGGCTGAGGAGGGAGGACTCCTCCTCTTCAAATTGACTTGAATCTGCTCTGACCCCCAAGAGTGCAGCACAGTAAGTAGGCATTTGTTTTTGCTATAGCCACTCCCCAATATCCTCCAATATTTTACCACCTCTTTCACCCCCACAACCACCCTGTTTTGTTGAATAACGTTCCATCAGCAGGATTGAAAAGAGAAATTCAGTTGTGCTGGGCTTTTGAGGGTGGGGTGGGAGCACCATTTGACTTCTAAGGGATCTGGAGAGCAGTAAATGTGATTTGTTTATTTAGTTGGCAATCTTGCAATACGGGGGCTGCTAACTTTCCATGGAACCAAAAAAAAAAAAAAAACCCAAAAACGGCCCTTCACTATTGAGGAAATGGAGGCATTCCATGGCTGAATAACAGAATCGGGTTCAAGCCAGCCTTTTTTTGTTATGGGAAATTGTATCTCATATACAGTATACATACGATGCAAAAGGGTACACACAGAAACATTGAACATATTGTGTTTTAGGGGGATTGCTGAAGAAAAACCAATATAATAAAATAGCAACCGAGGTGGTGAGGTGAAATTTATCATATTGCAGGAGGATCCAGAATAATAGAATTCTACTTTGCTGAAGAATAAGCTTTTTTCTGGGATTATATAAATACTTTAGCTCTAGTGTCTTGGGTATTTGTTTTAAGCTTTTATTATTTTTGGAAGTTTGGGATTTTCCTTGAGTTCCCCAAATTTAAAGGCTGTTAAACCCCGTGGGCAGGTGGTGTATTTTGATGCTTAAAGAAGTTTTAATGGGCAATGGGAATCATGTCAGGAAATCTAGCACAGGATCAATGATTAATCACTGGCTTGAAAACCACCCAAGTGGAGGTGTTAAGGACGGTGCTATTTTCTCTGTCGTCAACCCTCTCTTTCCCTGCCTCACCTCCTGCTCTAACAAGAATCCCACTGCTTGCCTTAGGTCTGGGAAGAAAGGCATAAGGATGGTGAAGCTGAACAGTAACCCCAGTGACAAGGGAACCAAGCCACCTTCAGTTGAGGATGGCTTCCAGACCGTCCCTCTCATCACTCCCTTGGAGGTTAATCACTTACAGCTGCCTGCTCCGGAAAAGGTAAAGCAGGTACTTTTCTTCTTGTCAGCAACCCCTCCCCCAGGTTTCCCCCATCTCAGGAAATAAAACTGCAAAAAATTTCACCTTCCCAAACCCTTTTATTCCTTCATCTGCCAGGTATGCTCCCTTTCTGGTAAAATGTAGTTACTCCTTCCAGAGATAAAACATCTCACGTTATTTCAGATTTACAGTAAGTGTTTTTTCATTTTTTTGTTCATATCTGCATACATGGGCAAGCAAATTAATCTTTCCTTATTAAAGTTTTATCACAGCAGATGAATACTAATAAGCTTCTAGATGGTGACAGAGAAAATCCATCTTGATTATTTTGGAGAGGTGTTTTAAAATTGACTGGTATGGATATGAAGACAGATAATTGAATTCAGTCCAATAAGCATTCAGTTTTTACCTGCTAAGGCCCTGTCCCTATACTAGAAGTTGGTTATAAAAATACAAAATTACAAAATCCTCATCCATTATAATGAATTAAATTAATGCATCATGGTAAATGCTATACCCGAGAATTACAAAGATTATGAGAGCACACAGGTGGAAAAATAAATTCTGTTGAGGTGGGGAGAGAGTGAGGAAGGTCTGTGGATGGGACTGGGATGACAGGTTAGGTAAACTTCATAGGAGAACATTTGAACTGGGCTTTTAAAGGTGAGTCAAACCTTCCAGGTAGACCACGAGAGGAAAAGGCAGTTAAGGCACACATATTGAAAGCATAAAGAGCTTGTGGGGAACAACATGGCTGGAGTGGAATGTCTTTGGGGGAGGCGTGGCTGGAAATGAGTGACTGGCTGATGGCACATCTCCTGACATGGGAGTAGTCCATGAAGAATGGAGGTGGGAATTCATACAAAGACGGGGGAGGGGAGATTTATCCCATGGACACAGGTGGGAGAAATGTTATCATTTAAGATACACCTGAGAGAACTTGGAGTTTTATAATGTGAGCTTTTGCACAGTATAACAGAGAGATTTGGAAGCAAATGATAGACTTCCCTGGCTGAAGAGCAAACAATGGATCATTCCATCTGTTTGATTTTCTCATTGCCATCTCCAGAAGGGCATTGTGTGTCTTAACCAATTGACTCCATCCAATCAACGGAAGAGGAGCCAAAGCTAGATAAAGGGTCTGGCTGATTGGCTGGGGGTTGAGTCATTTGTTTTGAAAGTGCTGAGTTAGTATGAGAACGTGCAGGGATGGGATGGCAGAAATAAAGAATTCTTGACCCATCCTGAGAAACCAATAAAGACTTTAAAAATAAATTTTGAACAGGCCAGTAACACTAAAGAAATGTGATGGAACAGTATTAATTATCTGCTGCATGTATATCAGTTTCTGGGTTTTTGTTTGTATATGAGAATCACCTGAGAGATTTAAAAATTCCTGCCATCTAGGAATTTACCCCAGAACAATTCTGTCATAATCTCTGTGGGTGAGACATAGGCATCGGTACTGATGAAATCTCTCCAGGTGACTCCTGTGTGCAGCTGAAGTCAGGAACCACTGTTTTAGGTGAACATTATTCCAAGGAGTCAGGGATTATGCACTCACATTTATGGATGAAAATTTGGTGGGTTATCCAAGCTCACAGAATGAGTAAGTGGAAATGCTGGAATTTGAACATAGATATAAGTGGAAGTTAGGGAGAAGAAGGAGGGATATTCTCTTGAGGTTTCTTGAGGCCAGTAATGACAGTCTTGCAGATCCACGTGTCCCTGAGAGGTGTGCAAGGAAAAGAGACTGTGGTGAGGTCACCTCTCTCTAACTTTCCACACACCTGCAGGTCAGGCAGAGATGGCTGTGGTTTCTGTCTCTCCTTACTCTCATCACCCACCTCCCCGGGCTTCCTTCTCTCCTTGAGAAAGGGGACAGGCTCAATAACTACTAAGCATCCAGTCCAGATATACCAAAAAACTGTCCCATAGCTTGAAAAATATCCGTACAAAAACACATCCCTACAAGGGCACATCATAGACTCCCTCTGATGTTCATGACAAAGTCTTCTACCAGATGGACCTCAGTTTCCTTTTCTGTGAAGTGAGGAGGATCACACCTACCTCACAAGGGTCAGAACAAAGTTGGTTGTGGCCTCATATGTAAAGTGCCTGGCACAAAATGTTAAGAGAATAGTAGTTAACCATTTCTCAGGTTCTTCCTAAATGTTAGATGCTATCCTAAGCCACATGTACGTACACACACACACACACACACACACACACACAATTTTTTTTCATCCTCTCAGTAGTTAATAAGACCCAATAAGGGAGTCACTACTTTGATCCAAATTTTAAAGAAACTCAAACACAGAGTGATAAAGTGACTTCCCAAAGCACTAGTTGGTAAAGCATCCTGGATGTAGAACCCAGGCAATGTTGTTTCAGAATCTTCCACCTCAGCAGGAATGAGGAGCTGGCCTGGGAGTCCACAGACTTGGTTTCTAGCTCAAGCTCGGTGGTTAACCCACAGTGTGACTTGATTCTTCTCCCTTAGGTCTCTGTCTTCTCTGAGTGGGGAAGTGTATTAGAAGTTTTCTGTGCTAATATTTAGATTTCATGATCTTTATGAGAGCATGTTTCTTCCCCTCTGACGTTAGAACAGATGTGTTAAAAGGAAAATCCACTCAAGAAGCCAAAGGATCATTAAATGCTTACAATAGGTGGTAGTTACCAGCAACAGACTCTGACTCCATCTCTTTAGGTGGGTTCAAATCCCCACTCCTCCTTTTACCAGCCTACCTTGGCTAAGAACTTTGGGAGAGTTTCTTAAACTGCCTCAGTCTCCTCATGTGTAAAATGAGGATAATATTGGGAATCACCTCACAGGACTATGATAGAAGAGGCGAAGTAAGCCCTGACACAGTTGCTGGCCTTTGATTAGGTTCCCGTCAGATGGTGAGTATTTGAAGTCAACATAGTTCAGAAAGAAGTATATTTGACCCCAATGTTAAATCACGGTTTCTTTTCTGAAAATGTAAAATGCAGAGTGTGCTTGGTATGTAATACTGAAAACCATCTTTAGATTCATTCATTCAATACTCTTTAGTAGTATGGGATATGAATGTCAGGAGGAAACCTTTTGAAGGCTAAATGGGGAAGATGAGCATGAAGTGTTGCTCTGGGCTGAGGATGTGGCCAAGCAGGGCACTCATTCCTATTATGTCAGTTAATCTTCCCAATGGCTCTGTGAGGTGGGTTTTAGTGCACCCATTTCACTGATGAGGAAACTGAGGTTCAGATCCATGGAGTGACCTGCTCAGGTTAACAGATAAAGAGTGGAAGACCTAGGGTTGAAATCCCTGTGTACCAGGCACTTCAAGTTTTTCCTCCACATGGTGCTACTTCAATGATGAGAAGACTCCCATTCCAGGGGAGTGCTTCCTCAGACTACATTCCCTTACCCATAGCCACGCTTCCTCCTTGAGTTCTCCCTCAGGCAGGCTCCTCCAGGGATCTGTGGGTGGCACTCTGGGGGTGGTTCCCTAGAGGAAATACTGCAGCCTCCAGTGCTCCCACCCTGTCCAGTGCTGGAGAGATGGGTTCCTGCCTCGAGAGGGGAGGTGGGCTCAGCCTCATGGGTGGTCACCTGCCTCTTCTCTCTTTCACTCTGCTCAGTCCTCCACGCTGCTTCTGAGGCCACTTCCTCTCCTGTGGGAGCCCTTTCCAGAACCACATTCCCACAGGATACCATCCTCAAACCCTTACCTTGGTGTTCCAGGTCCTTCATGGTCTGGCACACTGCCTTCCATTCCTACTACTCCCACTTTGTATCACAAACACCAGCATGTCAGGCCTCCTTAGAGCAGCAGTTCTCATGGGGGGTGATTTTGCTTCCCAGGGGGACATTTAGCAATGTCTAAAGACACTTTTGGTTGTTACAACTGTAGTGGGAGATTCTGCTGGTATCTAGTGAGTAGAGGCCAGAAATACAGTGCACAATACACCCCTCTTCCATCCCCCCAAAAGAATTATCCTGCCCAAAATGTTAACAGTGCCTAGGTTGAGAAACCCTGCCCTAGAGTTTTCCACAGGCTCCAGGGTGTTCCGTGCCTCATTGTACTTGAACATGCTGCTCCTTCTACCCAGAAAGCTCTCTCACCCCTTTGCTTGTCTGATAAGCCAATACTCATCTTCCTAAACCCAATTCAGCTCTCCTGGACACCCTTCCTGACCACCTGTAAGTATAGCTATGTTATACTTATCACACTGGAAGGTATTCATTTGTTTGTTCATTCATTCATCCATCCATCCAACAAATCTTGTTGGGTACCTTCTATGTGCCAGACACTGTGCTAGGCTATGGATATACAGCCATGAAAAATTGGTATGGCCACTGCCTTTACGGAGTTTCCAGTCCAATGAGGAAGAGGGACGTCAAACAAGGCATCATACAAATAGAAGTACATAGATGCAAATTGTGAGAAGGGCTTTGAAGGAAAGAATAAGGTGCTATAGTGTAAGAAAGGTTAAGACTTAGGAGGACATAATTATGATGGGAGGAGGGTCAGGGGAGGTCTTTCTGAGGAATCGGCCCTGGTTGAGACCTAGAGGATGGATCAGTAAGGGAAACGGGGCAGAGGAACCACCCTGTGGGCAAGCACTGAAGAGACTGGAGGAACAATCAGGGAGCCAGACACTGGCTGAAGCTTGTTGAGTGAGGGCGAGAGATTTAGGAGATAAGGTGAGGTGAGTACCAGTTCAAGTGGGGCCTGGAGTAGTTTTTTTATTGTTGCTATTTTTTGGTCTCGTTTTTGAAGTTTAAAGCAGGAGAGTAACAGGATCAGAGTTCTATTTTAGAAAGATAACTCTGGCTGCTGTAGGCCACCATGGGGACAAAGGACAGGCTCAGCCTCATCCTGGTCTTCTGGGCTTCTGTTCCTCTTTCTTTCCAATCAGTTCTCCACACAGCATCAGAATTAGTCTTCTCCAAAATAGAGGTGACTGGGTTTCCTTTAGCATCCCCACCACGAGCAGTGAAAGAAAAGAGTGAA